ACGACAAAGTCTTGGAAAGCATCAGCTATAGAATAATATAGCATTAACAAAAAGATGGGAATCAAAACATGAGGCAGAGGTCAGGTAGTAGAAAATCACAGCAGGACTCAGGTTTCCATCACTTCTCTTTCCAAAAAAAAGTTTTGGAGGCCCGCATACAAACAGTAAGGAATTTTGATTAAATACAAACCAGCATCTGCAGCTTCATTTGATACAAATCTCTTTTCGGCTTTAAGATAATTGCAGGCATCTAGATTTTTGTAGTGATTCTACAGTTCTGATTACGTTAAACGGTTATCCAAAAACACCACCGTTGTTACATTAACACTGCTAAATGCTCACTGCGAACTACAGAAACAATAGATTTTAACAAAGGCTAATCCCCCGTTTCACCTCCTGAGTTTACAGAAAATTATTAAAAGGATGAAAAAACCCACTTCAAAATACCAGCTATTTCTGGAAACAAGAAGCAGATGTTCTCCTCTGTTTGGCTCAGCTGTGCTACAGTACAAGAGTGCCTTTGTTATGCTGTCAGCAATAATTTCTTTTATTTATTACAGCCATTTTATAATGCCCATCAATGTACTATTTGTGCATGATTTAGATTCATGCAGATCTATTTCTCTGTATATAAGCCGTCAAGAAACATCATATACACACTCCAAATAGCAGACCCTGTTAGGACACAATTGTGCAAATTAGGTTTTTTTTCTCCTTCCACTGTATTAATAGAAAGGGAACAGGAAGAGAAGAAGGAGTTGGTATTGCCAAATAAAGTTGAATTAACATTAATCAAGAACTACTGAAACAAGACAAAGTTAGGAAAATAGAAGAGCTCAGAGTATAAAAATAAACTCTTTGAAGTCCAATAAAGGCAAAGCTTTCTGAACGACAGAAAGGAAACGCTGTCTAGAACAAAGTCATGAAGACCTAGAAGGAGACTATGCTGGGAAAAGGAGCCATTAAAAATGGAAGAGAGCGTGCTTACGGGGGAGAGGAAGGTAAAAGAAAAAGGAGCATAACCATTTGCAGCTTTGCCCTGTCAGCCACTGAGACCTTATCTGGGGCAGGCATTAAACCACTCCCCAAAAGACTAACATCACAGCCTTTGTATGGGTCTGATAAGGAATGCTGGGCCTCAAAAAATTAAACCTTTACTGGGAGAGAATACACGGTGGCATAAACTTTCATCCTTCCCTCCTGCTGCTTGGAACAAACAATTTCCTTCTATTAAAATATTTCCAAATTACTAATTTAACATCCCCAACTGTGACTCCCCAGACAGGCAGGATGATGTGCAAGACAAAGCTAAAACACTGCACAGAAGTACATAAATCCCATATTCCCAACCTGCAAGAACTGGAGGATCAACGTGTACAAATACCGGCACATTTAACACCAGACAGACATCAGCATATTGCTGGAAGATAAATTCAGATATTTAAATAATAAACAAGAGTATGAAATCCTATAGTTTAAATATAGGTGTTTGCTTTGGTGGTGGTTGGGTTTTTTTAAGTGATTTAGTGTCCAATTCCTGCAAAGGTTTCCTCAATCTGACAAGACAGTGCCCGAGATGATTTGTTGGGATAATCAAACTAACATCCGACAGAACCCTCACAAATTCTGCACTTCCAGGCTGAACCTGAGAGACGCACAGATTTAGATACAGTGTCATCAGTCACAGTCAATCTACAGAACCAGAAAACCTGAAGTTATACAGAAGTGGGACTCACATCCTACATCTGTCACAGACACCGGTAGCAGTCCACGAGCAAGTATTTTTAAAGGCTTTCTACAAGAAAGGCCTGCTTGCATCACGTTTCTGTCCAATTTTGCGACAGATCAGGGCAGAGGGAAGAAAGAAAAAACTTCAAAGATTTCTCAGACTTGGGTAGTACCAAAGTAAGTTTATAAATGGAGTAACAGAACAGCAATTACACAAAAATGTACACAGCGTTAAATGTTAGCTCCCATCTCTAGTTCATCAAAATAATCCCCCCCCGCCGCCAAATACATTAAAGATTATAACACATGAACAATCTGAGCAACAGCAACAGGGAAAAAAAATCAAGTGTGTACATGTCTAATATGCATAACTTATACACTTTAACAATTAGCAAACATTGGAATGTTACCACAACACTGAAAACTTGCTCTAACAGAGATTTTTCCAAACAAAAATATTTGTAGCATCAAGAATTAAAAATTTACTGGAACAAGCCATCGAGATAATTCCCCCAAAATAAATAAATTATTAAAATATTCCTTAGATCTTAAAAATTAAAACATTTTGTCACAAAAAAGTCCTAAAAGTCAAAATAGTATGGATTATCACACCACTCACATGCAAGATTTGACAAGTGGATTATTTATCTGTACTTTTCCAGAGACTGCTGTACAGATGATAGTTATGCAGCACCCGACCATGCCACTAATCACTGCAGCCCCAACCCTGTAATTTGTAATACCCAGGTAAACTACTCATATAAACTGCAGCATCAGAAATAGAGAGGAGGGCAGAAATGGACTGAAGGCGATTGAAACTCGTGTGCTCAAGCAGCTTTGGCTCATCATCAAATACCAACCATGGTTTAGGGAATTTGGGGGGTTTTCCTGCATAAAAATTCAGTCAAAGTGCATGAGCAGCTCCATGCAGTTGATTTAACGTGGGAGGAGCTGATGATACCTTTCTATGAGTAGGAGGTGAGAAACAAAGCCACACTTTTTGTCTGTGCACAACTGGATACTTCAAGATAGGAGTCACCAGCTCGCACAGCCAGCGCAGGGACACCCGAAACTGCAGCCTGACCCTAACAGCTGCACTAAGCAGGTTTCGACTTCCCTGACCTAAGTCTTGCTGCCCACAGAAGAAAGTTCAGAAGTCAGGATGCTTAGCGTGATTTTTAAAAAATAAAAATTAAAAATTACATTACAATTGTTTCCTCTGGTTCCCTCCTCACCCTGCATCCCACATCACATCTCTGAGCTTGGGAAATCCAGCAGAGCGTGGCCACACCGAGGAAGTCAGACTTTTCACTTTGTGTCTGAACAGGTAGTACAGATCCAGAAAGGGGACTGTGCTACTGAGACAGGGGAGTGCTTTTCTGGAAATCGGGATAGTTTCTAGATGTATATAAACAAGAGTACCCCAAGAAAACAAAAGCGATTTGACTGTAATTATCCACTCAGGAACAGGCAACAAAAAGCCCCCAGTCCTGCCAAGTTTTAAGTACACGCTTAACTTTAATAACAAATAGTCTCACTGTGCAGCGTCTCTAAATGACTGCCAAAAAAGGGCCAGATTAACAAGGGAATTAAGATTTTTTTTAAATCATTTAGAGGTGCTATTAGTTAGATTACCAAAGATTAGATGATTTTTTTTTCCCCACAACTGAGATACCTTGGCAAATTCAAACCTGCTCACAACCCTCATGTCAGTCTCAATGGGAAACTGCACAGATCCAAATGAATACACAAGCATGGTCCAGTGCAGTTGGACATCATGATATCTGACAGTTTAACACTACAAGGTTAAGCAAAATATTTATTTTAAGGCAATTTTAGCCAAAACAAGTTGACAATCCTAAAGAATTTCATCACAGCTGCTGGAGAGGGAGGAAACTGGGGACACCTTAAAAAAAGAAAAAACAGGAAAAAACCCACACACAAACAAAAAGCTGTAACAGCTGTGAGACATTGGTGCTGCAAGAAGCAGCAGTGGGCAGATGTTTCAGGCCAGGCCAGATTACCTGCTCCCCAAAATCAAACCCATGACGAGCCAGTACGGTATGCTAGCCCATGAATGACACTTCTGTGATGAACCCAGTTGCCCAACACTGCAAACCACACTAGCAAAGGAATTTTGCTAACTGAAGAGTACAGCTGAAGAAAGAAAGGTCTGAAGCAAGAGGGGGGTGATAAAGAATACAAAACCAGAAAGAACACAGACAGCTCTTTCACAGAGACTGCCTCATCATTAATTTAGGGAGCGGAGACACAGGGAGGAATGTATCAGATATCCCCCAAGGCAAGTAAACATTGGGGCTGAACACATGTACTTCACTCACTCACGGGACTGATTCGAAGGGGAACCGTGGTCTCTGTCCTGCTAGGGCGCACTCTGCAGCAGCTCTCCCTGAGCAGCCTTCAGATAATTAACTTATAAGGAAGACTAGGCAGGACATTCAGCTCTCCACGAAGTATCAAGGGAGAACAGATGTTTCCCAGTCTCACAGGGACAAACTCAAGAGTATATCATGTCATACCACTAGTTCTTGAACACATTAAAAAAAAAATCACAGTAAAGGAAACAAATAAAAAAGGCCAGGGTAAGCAAACAAACTCCAATCAGCCTTTCAGGTGAAATGTAAATGCTATCAAACATATTTCATTACTAAATTAATGCTCCATAACATTACTACTCCAAAAAATACATGGCTGATTACAGACTAGCTTTTGGGGAAGGGACAGAGAAGGCAGTTAATTGGAAAATGTGTTTTATTGTAGCTAACCAGCCTCACACATTTCTACACTCCCACTCACTGGAGAAACATCTCCTTATGAAGTCTGCAAAGTATAATTAGTTTGGTTTTGTTTAAATCTGCATCCCTGTACAGGTAAGCAAAGTCTTTCAGCTCACTAACTTTTCCCAGAAGTTTTGCATCAGTGAAATATGCATTCTACTTTTCAGTGATCTACCTCTTCTTCCTCTTCCTACAGCCTGCCCGAAGTAATTCATAAAGCGCCTTATGCCTACACCCAGCGCGTTACTGGATGTTTAAAACACTGCTAGTCTCGAGAGGTCCAACTTCAAAAAGTAGAAATCAATAAATAACCAAACTCTACACAGAAGTTTGCGAGCACCAGCCTGGTCATGTGCAGCACGCAAATATCACACACCGAGCAGAGAGACTGTCAGAAAACAGATTTACGCAGAGGGGAAAAAAAACAAAGTAAAATAAAAACACCCGTAGGGGAAGGAGCAGCAGCCCCCTTACCTCCGGAGTCCTCTCTGATGGTTTCTTCCGCAGAGCCTGTTTAATCTTGGGGTCCACAGGAGAGCTCATTCTACACCACTGCTCCTCCCGGTCCGTAACTCCTCAGAAATCGCTGGCGGGGGGCGATGCCTCCAGGAAACACGGAACACAACAACAACGCGATCAGCCGAGCCTACTGCCC